TCATCTCTTCACTGCTCTTCAGTATTGCAGAATTACACAACCTTCAGCATTTTCAATTGGTTTAATTACTATTGTTATTAATATTAATAGAGAAAAAGTGTGTTAAGCCTCATATTGCTTTCTAAATCTGTATATTACACTCTTAGAACAACTAAATGTACAAAACCTGACCTATAAGGACCCCTTTTTTCTTTCAAACCCTGCCTAAAGAGACGGCATTTAAATAAACAGTAAACTGAGCGCTAAAAACAGAGGCTTTGTTGCAGATTTGCTTTGACACTGAAGAAAAGCTTGAATCATCCTCACTGTTCTTAAGTAGAGTTGAATTATCTTAACTCTCATAATGCTCTCTAAATCTGTATATTACACTCTCAGAAAACAAAATGGGCACATTTTTGTTCTTTTTTCTGCAAGGCAGCATTTAGTTCAAGAAACAGAGCGCTGAAAACATGGGTTTAGTTGCAGATTTACCCTGATATTGCAGAAAAGCGGGCATCATCTTCACTGTTCTTTGGTACAGTTGAATAATCTTCAGTTTCACAAACGTTGAGCTGTTGCATTCGTTAACATTGGTTTAAATCAGTGGTGCTCAACCCTGTTCCTGGAGATCGACCTTCCTGCAAAGTTCAGCTCCAACTCTGATCAGTCACACCTGAACCAATTAATTAGGACCTGAACAGCACTTGATAATTACAGGCAGGTGTGTTTGATATGGGTTGCAACTGAAATCTGCAGGAAGGTCGATCTCCAGGAACAGGGTTGGTCACGCCTGGTTTAAATGTTATTGTTACTAGTGAGAAAAAGTGTGCACTCCAAATCTGTTTATTACACTCTCAGAAAAACAAAATGGCCAAAATTATTTATTTTTCCTGCAAGACAGCATTTAGTTCAAGTAACAGAGTGCTGAAAACATGGGTTTTGTTGCAGGTTTACCTTGATTTTAGAGAAAAACTTGTATCATCTCTTTACTGTTCTTCAGTATTGTAGAATTACACAATATTCAGCTTTTGCAATTGGTTTAAGTATTATTGTTATTAATATTAGTAGAAGTGTGCTAACTCTAATAATGCTTTCTAAATCTGCGTATTACACCCTTAGAACAAACAGAATGTCCTTTCGAAACTTGCCTGAGACAGCATTAAAATAAACAGTAAACTGAGCTCTAAAAACAGAGGCTTTTTATGTCTTCCAAAACCTGCCTGAAAGTCAACTTTTAATTTAACAAGAAATGAGCGCTAAAACATGAGCTTTGTTGCAGATTTACCCTGCTATTAGGGCAAAGTTTGTATCATATTAAACTCTCTTCAGTAGTTCACAATATATTGCATTATTGTCATTTTCAAGATATTGGCATGGTAACGCAGACGGGTGATAAATTACATTGATTTTATGTATTGGTTGATTATCTAAATTGGACCAGGATTGATCAGGCCTTATTATCTTTATCCCCACTTCCCCACTAGTTGCTGTTCTGCTATTGGCAGTAGCCCAAAGCTGAACCCAGAGCTGAAAATAAACATTATTGGCAGCAATCGAGACAACAACAACAGCCAATCAGAGTCAGAATATCTGCTCAGGTTTTTTCAGTGTTTGCACATTGATGCAGTTTTTTAGTCTAAATTAGTTCTAAAGAAGATTTTACCCCTTTATTATAATGTAATAAAATAAATGATTAAAAAACAAAACTAATAAAAACTGCATTTATTTCTAGGAAAATGTTATACCGTTAAAAAAAATCACTATCCCAACAATTAACAACAATATGGTATATTTTTTCAGTATCATGCAGCCCTTGTAAAGTTACATGTTTAATGACACGACTTTCAGCTTTTGCATTCCTAAAACTGATTTAATTAGTATTATTATTTGTGGGGGAAAGCATGTCATCCCTTATAATGCATTCTAAATCTGAAAACTACACTCTTACAAACAAATGTACCCTTCTTTTTTTAACAACATTTAATCAAACAGGAAACTGAGCATCGTGTGCTTGAAATGTATGTGATTTGTTGCAGGTTAACAATGATACTGTAGAAAGGTTACACAGTAGAGTTGTTATCTTCAGAATTACACAATGTTCAACTTTTACATTTGATAAAACGGATTTAATTGTATTATTTGTGTGAAAAACTGTGTAATTTAATAATACTAATAATGCTTTCAAACTCTGTAAATTACGCTCTCAGAAAGTCACAAAGCAGCCACTGGGGTGATAAACTGAAGGATACATTTTTGTACTTCTTCTTTAGTTCATTCATGTATTTTGGGTACAAACTGTACTCTAAAGACCCTTTTAATCTTTTTAAAACCCGTCAAAGGACATTTAATTACACAACTGCTGCTCTCGCATATAAGTTATCTCATTATTATTATTATTATTGGGGAAAATGGTTAACCCTCATCATTCATTAAAGATATGTATATGTGCAACAAAAAAAATTATAAATGAATAAAAAACATTAAGAAACCACACTGAAAAAAATCATTCAAAGATGATTCCTTGGATTTACTCAATTTTTTTACGTTAAGTGGTTGTAAACAATTTATTTGCGCTGAATTTAAACAAACAAATTAAGTTGAACATTATTAAACTTAATTTGTTTGTTTAAATTCAACACAAAAAAATAGTTTGCAACAGTTTTGCATGCAACACTTTTTTCAGTGCACACTGTATCTGATGACTGCGAACAAAACTATGTAAGCCTTTATAATGCATTCATTGAAATACTCCTTGGAAAAACCCTGGAGTGTTAAAACCCCACAATAAAGATTTCAACATTGAAACTTGTCCGAGCAGAACTCGAGGTTCTGTAATGCACTTTGAAAGCGTAATTAAATGGAAAACACCTATAATCACGGGGTATGGTCAAATTTTGATTAAGATTTACAGTAAACTGAGCTTAAGAAAAGGATCATAAAGTGTGGCTGAAAGTCATATAAAGCTGTATTTCACAACCCTGTCATCAACGGTGACCTCAACATTCACTGCTGCTGATGGAAAAAAACAAAGTGCTGCTGGTGGAAAGTTTATTAATGCCACATCTCAACATGGCGGTGCAATATAACTGTGAGTAACTGTTACAGGTGGAGACTAGAACAATTCTGCTTTAAACCCTGCAGGCAGCATAGTTCAGTTAGACTTTTATCTCACAATTCTAAAAGTTATAAATTCATAATTTCGTTTAATCTTGTAATTTTAATTTAGTAAGAAATAATTTCTCAATTTTGGGTTAATAAGCAATAATTTAAGCTTTTTTTATCTTAATATTGCTTAAGTCATAATTTTTATTTTTTATCTCGTATTATTGATCAAGTCATAATTTAAATTATCTCGTAATATTAAGTCATAATTTAAATTTTTAATCTCTCAATTTCGAGTTAAGCCATTTCAACTTTATCTCAACATATTAAGTTATAATTTAAACTTTTTATCTAGTAACTTTGACTTAGTAAGCCGTAATTTAAACTATCTCAAAAAGTTGACATTGAGTAAATCAAACATTTATCTCGTAATTTGAATTAAGTTATCATTTTGAGTAAAGGCACCATTCAAACTTTTTATCTCGTAATTTTGATTAAGTCCTAACAATAAGCAGCATTATTAATGCTGAATATATAAGTTTATGTTAGAGATTACTTCAAAAATAGAAAATATTCCTCGTACTTGAGGACTGATAAAATAAATAAAAGTAAAACATAATAGTATTTTTTTTAGACACATGCTTATCTATTACATATCTATTAGATCACAGTTGTTTTCCATTTCATTACATTGAGCTCTCTTGGCCACTGTAGATCTGAATTAAATCAAAATTATGAGAATCGAATTGGGATATAAGAATCAACACACAGCTGTAATTGCTGCTGAATGAATACAAGCTTATATAGCAGGCTTTACTTCATAAACCAGAAAGAGGACTCACAACATAAATAAATAAATAAATAAATGAAAAAAAAATGTTTTATACAAACTGCTTAAATAAATGTGTGCAATACCTAACCAGTCTTGTCGTCGATCCCAGTTGTAAGAGCATCAAATAATAACTTGACTTCTAGTTGATCATTTGGAAAAGTGGCAGAAAGTGGATTTTTCAGATGAATCATCTGTTGAACAGAATCACAATCATCACAAATACTGCAGAAGACCTACTGGAACCTGCATGGACCCAAGATCCTTAAATAAATCAGTCAAGTTTGGTGAAGGAAAAATCATGGTTTGGGGTTACATTCAGTATGGGGGAGTGCGAGATGTTCTGCAGAGTAGACGGCAACATCAACAGCCTGAGCTATCAAGACATTTAATACATTTAATAAGACAGTTGATAGCGCTCCTACTTCAGCCTCCACATCAAAGTTCCTGAAAGCAAAGGTGGCCAAGGTGCTCCAGGATTGGCCAGCCCAGTCACCAGACATGAACATTATTGAGCAAGTCTGGGGTAAGATGGAGGAAGCATTGAAGATGAATCCAAAGAATCTTGATGAACTCTGGGAGTCCTGCAAGAACGCTTTCTTTGCCATTCCAGATGACTTTATTAATCAGTGATTAGAGTCATTGCAGAGATGTGTGGATGCAGTCCTCCAAGCTCAGACACAATATTCATTCTGTTTCCACTGCAGCATGACTTCATATTCTATACTGGACATTATTTCTGTTAAGTGACAAGACTTTTGTCTAAGCAAAGTCAGGGCTTACTGTCTTAATTAAATAATTAAAAATCAACTCATGATCATATTTTTGGTAAAATACGTGTAATCTACAGGCCTTTGCCTTTCACATAAGCCACTTCTGATACTAAATGACCCACTAGAAGTCAAGTTATTATTAGTCGTTCCTAAAACCTGGAAAAGCGACAAGACTTTATTCAGGTAGTGTATTGGATCACAGTTGGTTTCCATTTCATTAATTAATCAATCAATCCAAAGTGGCTCAAATCAATAGGTTAACAATCATTTTATTCAAGCAGAACACAATGAGCCGAAGTACAGATGTGGAAGCAGTGAACGTTGTATCTCTGTGCCAGTAAAAGCTTATCTGGGAGTTTCAGTGGTGCTGCTCGGCATCGGGCTCCTCCGGAAGCGTCTGTGTGTTTGCAGCAGGAGTTCCCATTAGCCCTCCGTCCTGAGCTGTGTTATAAGAGCCACAACTGCTGCACTTCATGCCCAACACGTGAAAGGAGACGGTGCTGCGAGCCTGACAGTCATTGCATATGATCTGAAGAAAATAACACACACATGGGTCAGGAGAAAAAGGTTTTCCACTAATCAAAACAACCTAGGCCTGACACAATAATCAATATACATATGGACATTTCGCTCAACACACGGACATGACCGCAATCATTTTTGGTGATGCAATACATACAGTTGAAGTCAGAATTATTAGCCCCCCTGAATTATTAACCCTGTTTATTGTTTTCCCCAATTTCTGTTTAATGGAGAGCAGATTTTTTCAACACATTTTTTTATCATAATAGTTTTAATAACATCTCTAATAACTGATTTACTTTATCTTTGTCATGATGACAGTAAATAATATTTGACTAGATATTTTTCAAGACACTTCTATACAGCTTAAAGTGACATTTCAAGGCTTAATTAGGCTAATTAGGTGACTAGACAGGTTAGGGTAATTAGCCAAGTTATTGTATCCGCTTGTTAAGTGTGACGTCACGCGGAGCGGCTTCCGGGTCCAAGCGCTCTATTCAACTGAATGGGGAGATTCATGAAATGGTAATAATAAACGTTTACAAAGCGATTTAATACTTTCGAAAATCTCGATCGGAATATATATGTCCATGCCTAATATCCAATGGCCAGAAAGTGATTCATTGTTTTATAAATTGTTAAGATTTTGGTATTTGTTATGCAGCAAGCTCAGAGATTGTTGTGTACACTATGACTTTATGTAAAATTAACTTTAATGTGTGATAGGAATAAAACGTGATCATAAACGAATGATTTCTTCACTCAAATGAATGGCGGCTTGGACCCGGAAGCAGTATACATACGTCATAAACACATCACCACTTAACAATAACGATGGTTTGTCCTGTAGACTATCGAAAAAATATAGCTAAAAGGGGCTAATAATATTGACCTTAAAATGGTGTTTAAAAAATTAAAAACTGCTTTTATTCTAGCCGAAATAAAACAAATAAGACTTCCTCCAGAAGAAAAAATATTATCAGACATACTGTGAACATATCTTTGCTCTGTTAAACATCATTTGGAAAATATAAAAAAAGGAAAAAAAAGAAATTAAAGGGGGCTAATAATTCTGACTTCAACTGTATATATTGTCCATACATAAAATCCAATTCTAGCAACCCTTTAGCGGACTGTGCAACATCTCTCTCTCTATTGCAGGTGTCAGTTTCAGTATGGTTAAAAAAAGCACTATAGTGTTTACTACAAATTACTATAGTATATTTTGATTTGGGTGTCTGACAACTGAAAATAGATCTGGTAGCAGATATCACAGCCTCTGTGACTTTACCTTACACCGTTTGTTAACATTTATTTTTATTTATTTAGGATGTATTTTCACATTCAATGCCTAATTCCTAAACTGTTAAAATGACTAAAAGTAAATTAAATATTCTTAGGAATAAAATATGATCTTGGAAGAGTATACTCGCATTATGTTGATATTATATTGTCATTCTGGCAATCGAATTTACGAATCGTAATCGTAAATTCGAAATATATTTTGATGCTGTATATCACACAAGAAAAAAACTAGATATTGTGCCCCCTCTACACTAGTGCGTTTTAGTTTTAAAACAGCATTTTAGAATAAAAACGATCCGCATCCTCACTAGCGTTTCACCCAGCGTTTCTGAACAGCTCTCCGTCTACACCAAAACGACGGAAAACGCACATTACATGACCACACACACACACACTCTGGCATGCGCTGCAGCAAATCGAGTCAGATGAGAGCTGTGCTCGTCAGACTCATCAAGGGTCTCAAACTAGATCTAATCTCACTATATTTGTTAATCGTGATATTTCATTTATCTTGTTGTCTTTGTTTAATGACATACTCCTGACTTTGGTCTCTTGAATCTGTTACTTGTTCTCAGGTAACGTGTTTTGGCTGAGCGTAAAGATAGGTTAATAATTAATGTAATGTATTGTACATTATACTTTTATAATGGCCATTATTGATTATGAAAACTCATATTCAGCAGAAGAGAGGGAATGTTTTGTACTGAAGATGAAAGGAGGCAGAAATGTTATAGGCTCCGTTTTGTTATAAATATCCACACAGTGAAGATGAAGCTCATATATGCAGCACGACGCCTCAACATTTCTGCTGTCTGTTAAGTTGTTAATATCAAAATGAAAATAGGCAGTTCCTTAAATCATGCTTTCATTTTATTGTTGAGAAAGTGAAACAACATAGCCAGGATGATGTGAATGAGGTTATAAAGTTAACTGTTCCCATTGAAGATTTACCGGACATGTCCTCGGGAGTCTGTTTTTCATATCAAACTTGCGAAGTCTGAACTTACAACGAGAGGATGCAAGAACTGTGTGTAGGCTACTTAATATTGAGGAAAAGCCCCAATCAGATAGGTGAATGCCCACCTCCGTTTTCAGATGTCTCCATTTTCCCCCATCCACACTGAGATGGAGCAGCAGCGTTTTAGAATGAAAAGGGCCTGTCAGCGTTTTCGGCATTTGAAAACTCCGGCGTAGTGTGGACTGATGGCGTAGCCGTAGCAAAATGTATGCGTTTTAAAAAGAAAACGCATTAGTGTAAATGGGGCCTGTAACATTGACCATGCCACCCTCTCCAGCCTATTCACTTTAATATACTTTCCCTTTTCTCTCTCTCTTTTAAATTGTTCTTTTATATTTTGCGATCATTTTTTTATTTTACTTAATACACCATGCTGTCAACCTCAACTTTCAGTACTGAACTGTATATATGCTTAATCTGTCATAATTACTTTGCATGTCAAATATTCTTTGTTGTCCAATGTGTAGGTTATAATGTGGTCTATTTATTGTTTTTTTAAATAGAATTTTACTGTTATATATTTACTTTCTTGTCTATTTGTGCTGTCATTTTCCCAAGGATTCCATATCCGGGACCAGGCCATATCCTGAGCTGCTGCTGCGCTGATGGTCGTGGGGAGTGGAGAACATGAGTCTGATTCCAGCGATGCTCCAGGGACAGACGAGTCTTCGCTGAGGCCATCTTCCAGCCTCCACCGCGGTGACTGAAGCTCTGCACAAGACTTTTGGCCAGCGGAGAAATTAAAATGGTCGTGCCCAACTGAGTCTGGTTCTCTCAAGGTTTTTTTTCTTCACTCCCATCAGGTGAAGTTTTTTTCCCTCTCCGCTGTCGCCACTGGCTCGCATGGTTCAGGATTGGTAGAGCTACGCATCGATGAATTTGCTCTTCAGTGTTTGAACTCTCAGTAATGATTAAATCACACTGAACTGAGCTAAACTGAACTGAACTGAACTTAAAACACTAAAAACTGAACTACACTGTTCCAGTTACTATGACCATTTATGTGAAGCTGCTTTGACACAATCTACATTGTAAAAGCGCTATACAAATAAAGCTGAATTGAATTGAATTTTGTCACTGAAGCTCTGCACAAGACTTTTGGCCAGCGTAAAAATTAAAATGGTCGTGCCCAACTGAGTCTGGTTCTCTCAAGGTGTTTATCTTCACTCTCCTATCAGGTGAAGTTTTTCCCCTCTCCGCTGTCGCCACTGGCTTGCATGGTTCAGGATTGGTAGAGTTACGCATCGATGAATTTGCTCTTCAGTGTTTGAACTCTCAGTAATGATTTTAAATCACACTGAACTGAGCTAAACTGAACTGAACTTAAACACTAAAAACTGAACTACCCTGTTCCAGTTACTATGACCATTTATGTGAAGCAGCTGTGACACAATCTACATTGTAAAAGCGCTATACAAATAAAGCTGAATTGAATTTGTTAACTGTCATAGAAATGTAACAAATAAATCTTTAAAAAAACGAGCATAAACACAACTTTACATATTTCTTATGGAAAATCAGCTATTGACTTTGGTTGTGTCTGTGCTGCTCCTTATTTGCAAGTTGTGTTAAGATAATGAACATGTAAATGAAGGCTCGGTAACCTTGACTGTACTGTCCTGGTACTCAGTGGGCATTGGAGTCTGGGAGATTTCCTCATCCATCTGCTTCCAGTACTCCTTCATGTTGAAGGCCGAGTGCATACAGAGAGGACAGCGATACGCACTGCAGGACAGAACAACACACAGGGTCATACAACTATAAGACTGCTTTATAGAATGCAATGATTGTTTAATATGGATGCATCAAATTTTTGGACAGGAAATGGCATTTGGTTTTGACCAAAAGAAAAAAGGGAAAGTGTTTAGGGCACTGGTTTCACTCACTTTCAAACTGTAGTAACTGTGCTCAGTGTAGAGGCTTTCACACAGGACACAGAAAGCGCTGCACTATAAATCCTATTCATTGTAAAGGCTTGCATTGCGCAATGGTTATTTAATTAGCCTGTGCGTTTTAAAATCAGTAAAATTTTTCATTTAAATATACAAATTTTACATTTGAAAATTCTCAGAAAAAAAAAAGATTGTATAATCCTCAAAATGAGCCTTTCGGTAGAGGTCTGCGACCAGATTTCTGCGGCGCGGGAATAAATTTCCGAATAAATCGCGGGAGCGGTCGGTAACGGGTTTAATTTGGGACGGGAGCGGGCTGTCTAGCAATATCGCGGATATTGCGATGCGAATGAGAGAGAGAGAGAGAGCTTTGCCTGTGTGTGTGCTTGGTGCTTGTGTGTGTGTATGTTAGTGTGCGCGCACGAATGAGAGAGAGAGAGAGAGAGAGCTTTCCCAGATAGCAAAATACACTCGGGCCAGTTCCGGCTAGATTCTTGTCTGCCGGAGACTTACCACTCGGCCCGGCTCCGGCTGCCGGACTCGAATCAATTGGGCCAGATACGGCGGCCGTAAGCGAGCCGACGCTGCCGCATCCGCGCCGGAATCGGCCCGAGGGTAATGTGCGCTGCGGCCCGGAGCTGGCGCGACTCAGTATTTATATACCTTTATATAAAACCTTTTGGTATTACATTGGTACTTGATACATGGTATTACAAGCCTTCGAGTTGATATAACAGCAAACGCCTGTGTGTCTGCTTGGTGCTTGTGTGTGTGTTAGTGCGCGCGCGCATATGAGAGAGAGCTTTGTCTGTGTGTGTGTGCTTGATGCTGTGTGTGTGTGTGTTTATACAGACAGCTTGGCTGTCTGGACTGTATAGCTGGGTGATTTTCGGTTTTGTTCTCCCCCGCTCTTTAGCAGGATCGGGCGCGGCGGCCAGAAAACGGGGCGGGTCGGGCAGCGGGACAACAAATTTTTAATATAAGCGGGAGCGGTCGGGTTCGGGCTAAAACCTGGCTGGTGCGGGCGGGATTCAAAATTTAGTCCCGCGCAGATCTCTACCTTTCGGTGCATCCCTAATATTAAAAGCATGTACACATGGTTAAGATATGCTGCTAGAGCATAGCACATGGGTTTGAAATCTCTTAAATGCTATAATAATCTTTTTTGCGGCTTTATCTATCATTATATAGTTATATAGGCCTTGGCATTTGAGGATTTAAGGATATAGTTGTAAAAATAAATTACAATTGCCTAGTAGTTTTAATCTTTTATGAATGTCTTCTGTTCAACACAAAACCAGATATTCTGAAGAATCTGGGGAAAAAGCAGCCATTGTCATCTAACCAATATTTTGGAAGCCAATGGACCCTATCATATACCTGGCGCAATGTGGTGCAAGTCGCGTCACAATTGTTGTTTGCTAGTTTCAGCTTGGCGCAAGAGTTGTTTTGAAGTTTTGCACCACGCTGTTTAAATAGCAAATGCATTTGCTCTCATGTGCGCGCCCATAGGCGCTCTGGTCTAAAAAGGGAGGCGTTCTGACGTGCATTGCTGGCGCGTTGCTATTTTGAGAAACTTTAATAGATTTTTTTATTGACCAAAACAAATCCAGTCGAAAGTCCAGCGCAGAGATGTGCCTCACTTACACACTGCTTAATACACACAAGATGTAGAGCAATAGGCAAATATCTTTACATATGAAAAAGAAATAAAATATTAAGGATATATATAGGATATAATAAGAATATATATAGGATATAAATATAAAGGATTAAAATATTACAAACCATATTATTTTCTAGCCTTCCTAAATATGAAAAACCACTGCCTTCATGCCTTCTTCATCTCCGGAGGCTTTTTTAGTTCATTCAATTTGCTTTTGTATAATGTTCTTATTATTAGCAGTATTATTTATTATATCCATATTTATATTTGTTTTATTAAAAACAAGCTTAGATTTGCCCACCTGTCAGGTTTTAGACCATATGGGGCACAGCATGTGTATTAGGATGTAACTCAGGTTTTTGAACACACTTAATTATTATTGTTCATTTATTTGTTTGCTGGAAATTAGAACTGAATTTAGAAATAGTTTTGAAACAAATCTTTGCGCTTAACAAACATAATTAATTATTTTTAGGCTAATTGATGTCTGTGCGTCAAGGTTTCCCTATGCACAAGAGTGAAAGTGAAAGTTAATCAATTATCTCTCATTTTTGCACTGCAGATGCTCCGTTTAACTGTTTTCTTGCTAGTGAAATGCTCAGTTTTTCCACTTACACTTATTTTACATCATGTAAATAGCAAACACGCTATGCCGTGACACAACTGGCTCTTAAGGGAATGGGAGATGAGGCTCTGATTGGTTTATTCTCAAAACACACCTATAACTCATTAAGAAAATAAACTCAACCCTTTTAGACTATGAGCCACGGCGCAAAGTGGATTTTTCCGTCCTTATATTAGCAAAAATGGATTCTGACACGCCCTGAAAGCGTTTGCGCCCTGCTCTTTATGCATGGATCGTTAAAATAAAGCCTAATGTCTGCTCTTTCCAATATTCTTCCAAATATTTATTTTGGGAGAAACAAAAGATATAAACTCAAACATGTCTGGTCAAGTGGAGGCAGATTCCATAAATAATTCCAGAATTTTCATTTTTATGTGAAATATGCCTTTTAAATGTATGCAAAAAAAAAAGAATAAACTATGAATTATGCAAAAGATAACATTAATACAACAAGCAAATCAAATTGACACTTACCCAGTTTTCAACATGTCATCAAAGCAGGTTCTACAAGCAAAAAAGATAAAGTGTATGAGCATTAAATTACATACACCTGATAACTTTATAATAAGGGCTCATGACAATATAACGAACACACACATTATACATGCACATATACTATGTAAATACCCATTTGGGATGCAATTAGTCAAAATTAATCGTCAAACACAAAAAAACAAATACAGTACCTATTTAGTATCCAAGATCAGCGAATCAGTGCATATTCCTGAAGTGCAAGTAACTTATTTCATGCAGGGCAGAAGTTGAAGCACTCACCCGTGCAGCAGATGACCGCATGGCAGAACGTGAGCTCCAACTCTGGACGTGTGGATGTCCTCCATGCAAACGGGACAGTTCTGCCTGGAGACGTTCTCAACACACTGAAAAGCACAAACACTGCTTCACATCTCACTACTGACAGCAAGCAACGTTCAAGAATCAAAACGCTAAATTGCATACCTTGTGCTTGTCTTTTAGCTCAGTACCTAAACATAAATTACACTTCGTACAATGGAAGTATTTCTCTCTTGGACCAATCCTAAGGACAGAAAAAAAGAGGGTCGATCTGAATCTTATTAGAAGAATTTCATATGTGCTTGTTCAATAAAAACATGTAGAGTTGAAGTGAAATTATTCGTCATCCTGTGAATTGTTATTTCTCTTTGACATATTTCCCAAATGGTGTTTAACAAGGAAGGAATTTTTCACAGTATTTCCTGTAATATTTTTTTCTTCTGGAGAAAGTCTGATTTGTTTTATTTTGGCTAGAATAAAAGCTAAAGAACAATCCACAGTTATACAGTGACTTGCCTAATTACCCTAACATACCTAAATGACCTAGTTAATCATTTAAAAGTCACTTTAAGCTGAATACTAATGTCTTGAAAAACATTTAGTCAAATATTATATTCTGTCATTGTAGTGGCTCTTTTCTTTAGAGGCTCTCTCAATGGTTATGAAGACAAAGTCTTACCCAAAATGTCTTTTAAAATTTTACTCTTTGCAAAGGTCAGACAGTCATACAGCAACAGGTTTCTGCAGAGTGAGATGCAGCAGGAAGAGTGTGTTCCCTTTTTATTGAGTCCCTTCTCTCTACCTGTCCTCAGGTCTTCACACTTGCTCCCAGTTACATTCAGAATAGATTTTTAAAGTATTGCTACTCGTCTATAAATCACTAAATGGCCTCAATACAATACAGACATGCTCTCTGAATAGAAACCCAACAGATAACTCATATCTTTAGGATCATATAAACTAGAAATCCAAGAGTTCAATCAAAGCAGAGTGAATCGGCCTTCAGCTACTAACAGCGCCCTCTGCTGGAATCAGATTCCAGAAATGATCAGGGGCCTCATGTACGAAGACTTGCGTGGAAATCATACTAAAACATTGCGTACACACAAAGCTGTAAATGTGCGTACGCAGAACAAAATTCAGATGTATGAAACACTGCGTTCGCCGAATCTCACGCATATTCTTTTGTACATCTGAATGAACGTGAAACTGAGCGCAACATGCACGAGCACAAATCCCCTCCCTGCCTCCTCCCCCGTATGAATATGCTAATGACTCTACTTTGGCAAAACCCAACGAAAAAGCAACGGCAAAACGAAGCAAGAAGAGAAACTTTGAACAGAATGTGAATTGGAGGTGCTGCTTTCGGAGGTAGACCGGAGAAAAGCGGTGTTATTTGCAAGTTTGTTCTCCGGAATTAACAACAAAAGAAAAAAATATATAGTCGGAGAGTTTAGCTGATGCGGTTAACACAGTTGGATCTGAACATCGCACTGAGTGAATTAAACAAGAAATAGTGTGATTTATAGGTGTAAAATGTTGCACTACCTTTAACAGTCTCAGTGGCGCAGCTTGTAAGACGCATGTCAACATGTTTTGACACGTTCGAGCATGAACTCGGTTCGAATCCAGTGTCTGATGAACTCTTTCTTCTTTTTTTCCCCGTTACATATCAGATTTTGCCAAATATTTATCACGAGAAAGACAAGTAGGAATAATTAATAAGTTTGTGCATCATATTTTATTTGCACATTTATTGAATGGAAATGTTTCTGATTCACGCATGCAAATTCATCTTCAGATAGTGTCTTTATAGCAATGTGCGTGCAGTAGATCGCTCAGATTACATTGGGAAAACAGACGACCGCTGCAAATTGTGCTTTAATGTTTAGCTGGTTAACTGTATGGTATGGAAACCTTATATACCTGCTAGATGAACCCGTCTCATACAGCTGCCATTGCAAGGCTCAGACACTTTGTAGAGAGGAATTTAACACAACTGCCTCTAGAGTCCAGAGTCGCCAATGGAAATAAAACAGACACGCACAAAAAATGTGGGTACGCCTGCCATAAAGCTGCGCACATTCCCACGTTCAGTTCATTGTTAGTAAATCCAAACGTGAGCGATTCTGAGCGTGAAACCTGGCGTACGCAAAGTTTTTGTGTGTACGCAGCGTTGATACATGAGGCCCCAGATGTGCTCCAACATTAGGCACATTCAAATCAAGACTGAACACACATCAGTTTAGCCGTGCCTTTACTGAATAAGCACTAAGCTACATCCGACAGACTGCACAGTTGTGTCTTTCTTTTCTTTTTCATTCTTTAATAACCTGTTTTAACACATTTTCATCTGTTTTTAAATAGTTTTTAATATTAGTTTTTTTTTCTAACACTTGTCTTTTTTATTCTTGTTTATGTGAAGCACTTTGAATTGCCACTGTGTATGAAATGTGCTATATTAATAAAACTGCCTACTGCCTATAAGGTCAATCAGTAACATATGCCATGGATTAATTATCCTCTTCACATATTTCAATTTTAATTATTTTAATTCTAATTATTCAGGAAGGCTAATAATTTTGACTTCTATTGTATATATTAATTTATATTTTTCCCGGAGACGGTAGATGAAAACATTTAAATACAATGCAAACCTGCATATCCCACAGGGCTGGCAGTGGTACTGCTTCTTGTCTTTGTCAAATAGATGGCAAATGTCACAGTAATATTCTCCGAACTTCACTTCACACTCTTTACATATCTGTTGAGCCTGAAGGACAGAATATGCAAAAGCTTTAAAGGGACAGTTCACCTGAAAATTAAAATGTCCTAATTTTCTCTAAACTCAAGTGTTTCTGAATTTAATTCTTCTGTTGAACACAAGACATTGCGATAATGTTAGAAAAAGCAGCCATTGACTTCCATTTTAGGATTAAAAAACAAACAATGGCTGTTTAGGGCAGTACAATGGCTCAGTGGTTAGCACTGTCGCCTCACAGCAAGAAGGTCGCTGGTTCGAGTCCCGGCTGGACCAGTTGGCATTTCTGAGTGGAGTTTGCATGTTCTCCCCATGTTCACATGGGTTTTCTCCGGGTGCTCCGGTTTCCCCCACAGTCCAAAGACATCTGTTGTAAGTGAATTTAAGAAACTAAATTGGCTGTAGTGTAGGAGTTTGAGAGTGAAGGGGTGTTTCCCAGTAATGGTTTGCGGCTGGAAGAGCATCCGCTGCTTAAAACATATGCTGGAATAGTTGGTGGTTCATTCGACTGTTAATTTTCCAAAGAAAAATGAATGAATGAATGAATGAATGAACGAACGAACAATGGCTGTCCCGCAACATCTCCATTAGTGTTTAACAGAAAAAACTCATCAGGTTTGGAACAAGTGGAGGAGTACATGATGACACCATTTCTATGATTTGCTTTTAATTATGATCAGAGCTGAAAAAATAAGCAAAATATTGGAGCTTTTGTGAGAGATTTTTGTTTAGAACAATTAAAATTGTTGCGTTTTGACATATTGAGATCCAATATTATTACATCAGTTCTACTGCTTGTTAACAATTATCTAAACAGTCAATCAAATGGCAGCAACTCAATACATTTAGGCATGTGGACATGTCTAAGATGATCAGCTGAAGTTCAAACCGAGCATTAGAATGGGAAAGAAAAGTGACTTGTATTGTAACAGGCTGGTCTGAAAAGGAGAACATGTCCAGTGAGGGTTAGAGTTTGGTGTAAACAATGTATGGATACATCCTGCCATGCTGCTGGTGGTGGGTAAAGTCTAGTTAGGATACAGCTGCGGATCTGATAGCAACTGTATAACAATAAATAATATTTTTACAGTACTGTGACGGTTGGGTTTTGGGTTAGGGTGGGGGTTAGATGTTAAAAAATACAATTTAATTGATAATTTAATAAAAAACTATTAATAAGTAAATAATACTTGGCACAATTGGTGTTTTTACGTTGACGATTGGGTTTAGGGTAGGGGTAGATGTTAAAAAATACAATTAATGGGAAATTTAATAAGTAATATAAATCATTTACGTTAACTTCCAGCCGCAACCGTATCTGATCTAGCAACAACTGCTGGTGGTGTAATGGTAAGGAAGATATTTTCATGGCACACTTTGGGCTTAAATTACTTCGGTTTTGTTATTGACCATATCTGTTTCTTTATGATCACTGTACACTCATCTTGTGCTTAAATCACTCATCTTGTGCATGAAAATGAGATCTCCAAACTAAAATGTCCTCCACAGTCTCCAGATCTCAATTCAGTTGGGGTGTGGTGGTAAGGCATGACATGACAATAAAAACCAAATGTTTACAACTTTTCAGCACCTTCTCGACTCAATGCCATAAAGAATTAATGCAGTTCTGAAGGCAAAAGGGGCTTCAACAAAAATACCAGCAAGGTGTGCCGAATAAGTATATTTTGGTAGATATATAATGCTGTAATATTGCTCATTAATGTTTACATGTTTTGTGAGATGCTGTGCAAAAAGCTATGCTTACTCACCTCTTGAATAGTATTGCAAACTGCACATTTGACCTCTTGGACCTTAAACCGGTCCATTTGATGGGTCTCTTCTGCATCATGACAGAGTCTGCAAACATAAAATTTCCCACAGCAGGGAGCCTACAGAAAGAGAAAAATAAAACAGATCAATGCACCTTTTATTATTATGTTAATGACATAATATTTGGGGAATACAGAGTTATACACAAATCAAAGTAAAAGTAAAATAAAATAAATGCAGATAACTTAAAGTCTTTTCTTCAACAGTTCAGCAGAGATGAATTGCATTGAGGTAAATTGGTTTTATATTCGCACATTCAGACTATTGCACTTAATATATATATATATATATATATATATATATATATATATATATATATATATATATATATATATATATATATATATATATATATATATAAAGAATAAAAGAATAAATATTAAGATCCTGAAAAATCTTAATTGAATAATCAAAAATATTTTTTTAAAGTGTAAAATACTAATTAACTTCACTTCAGTTACCATCAGCAAATGGTTGAAACAGCTGAAAGCAAGAACATAAAAATAAAAAATGTTAATTGACCAATTGTTAAAGGTTGAGTGTCCAAAGTTTCCATTTTTTTACAAACAGCTTCTTGATAAATATGTGATCCAGTTTTCGAGCTGAAAAATATCTTTCACACAGGGGAGCAGATATAAGTTTTTGTTAAATTAATAAAAATGTGCAGTATGGTAAGTACAATCATTTACATGATCAGATCTATTTAGTCTGTGTTTATATCATAAGAAGATTATGGCTGTATCAATGTTCCCAAACCTTATTAATTTCATAATAATATATATTGCACATATTATCTTTACAACATTTGTACTATTTTATTGACACTGAAAACAATGTTGTACTTTGACAGTCTTTGGCTGCCAATATGATTTCCCCATTCAGAATTTGCAAAGAATACTTTTCTGATACTATATTAAGAAGATAAAAGTCTGAATGGAAAACCAACTTCACCTCAATTAAAATTACTATGCATTGAAATTAGAGAATCACAAAAGAATGTTTAGATCAGCGGTTACAATTTGGTACAGTTAGCATACATTTCGTTTTGTGAGCGTGATACTGTCCAAATAGCATCAATGTTTTGTTATTTTGTCTATTTCCAATAGTCTGGTGTCACAGTTCATACACAAGAACATTTTACCAGCTAACTTATAATATACAGAACACTTCAAGACACTTGGAAGCAAAGTAGTTTAGTGTAACTTAATACAACTGAAAAATAAATGAAGAATAGTTTAGAGCTTAGACTGGCATTTTACAAAAAAACAACACACAGGTGAGAATATTTTCTTAAACTTACTACTACTTCAGTGCGTGGATAATATATATGTAACATTTTAATGTATTTTCTTTTACTCTGTTAAGGAGTATGCAGTCAAAGCACCTACAATAGTCCAGTCAGCAGCAAAACAGGACGAAAACACAAAACCATAACACTAAACCGTCTATTTAATTTTCCCTGCCAAGCAGAACAAGTCTAAACTAACTCAAATTGTTTGTTACTTGTATGACAACAATAAATAATTGGAATTTACATTAAAGATAATTAAACAAACAACAAAAAGAGGATTAACGTTTCCCCAAACGGTGCTCAGTGATGTACGTTAGTCAGTCAGCTAGTAACGTTATGCTAATTAGACTCGTTTGAATCAAACGTTACTGCACGACCGCGGAAATTATTTTGCAAAATAACTAAGTTAACTTGTTGACAATGACAAGCATGTGTGAAGTACACGGTAAACGTAATTAAATGCCACTTACTTTTAATAAACAGCTGCGAACATAATGTTCACATCCCACTTTCGTGGCGGCCATGTTTCATTCAAAAGCTGGAAAACTTTATTTAAAAGAGTGTGAGTTAGGTGTGCACGAACCACAAACTGCCATCACTAACACACACACATAAAAAGCTTCAAAACGTGTAGCAAATTTCACATTCTTATACCCGCTCATAAAAATAAAAAGATTTTACTTAAAGTCATAGTTTTCGTGGAGGTAAACTTTGATTTATATTCGCACATTCGTTCAGCTATATTGTTTTTTTTTGTTGTTGTTGAAAGAGATGAAAATAGTAATGATAAAAGTAGATTTGGATTTTCTTCAGTAGTATTCCAGTTATCTCCTAATAAACAAACATAAGTTAAGTTATCTAAACTGGCAAAGAACATAGTGCTGCATCAGGGGAACTTGGGTCGAGCCGTCGAGCACACGAGAGGGCACTATCTCGGTTTCTCAAAAAATAAATTACCATTTATTTAATATTATTAACATAAACTGAATGTAAATAAAATATTTATTGATAACATGTTGTTAAATACATCTTAAAAATTAATTTTATGACGAACGCAAAAACAAACACGTGACGTATATTTTTCCGTGTACACCGCACAGGTCCCAGAAACACGGTCTTGAAATGCGGTCCTGAAAGGAGTAGGGTAATCCTGCACAACTGGAGTGGCTGCACTCTCAGGACCGCATTTTTAGGACCACATCTTTAGGACCCTATTTTTTTGTGACAGCGCCAACTGTCGGATTGGATCAAGGATGCGCTAATGGACGACACGGATGACAAGGAAAGTGTAAGTACCGATTTTCTATTAAGTTTTATTTTAAACTGTTAAAGTATGTGTTTATTTTGTAATGCTGCTGTTTTATACTGTAAAGTTATGCAGAAATGCCAGATTAGCCTGCATGATTTACCCCAAGGGTCTGGGGACTGGGACAAAAATGTTACGTGACGAGTTTTTTTTTCCAGAAGAACAAAATATGATAATAATAATTATGGATAATTTTACACAGCCAGAGTAAGAGCTGCTATAACTGTTAATAATTTTCTAGAGTTCGTTTTCTAGTTTGATTAAATGCTACGACGATCGTAGTTCGTGACAATGGTTTATTGAAACATTGTTGATTTAATGGCTTGTTGACTTAACAGCGGTCTAATACGCTTAGTGACACATGCATTAAACTAAGATGGTAAAAGCACGTTGATGTGAGAGTTTCAGATTTATCTATATTTTGCTATATTCGTGTAAAAACCATTACTCAACGTTGTATTACATTAGCACATTAAAAATTGTGCTGACTGCCTGTTAGCCCCACAATGTGTTATTAGCCTGATGTTTTGTCATCGTTTTACAGTGATGAATGAGATGTTTGACGGTTTTAAAAGTTAGGCTTATTCTGCAGGCCTTAACCATATAAAGTCTCATATCTTTAATGTATATCAGGTATGTTTTACCTGGCGAATAAGAAGTGATGGCCAATATGATTGGATTGCCTAGCCCCATTGTAAGAAGAAAAGAAAACAAACTACAGGAATATTTTCATTGAGGTTATTGCAAACTGTTGAGTAACACTTTATAACATCTGCATACTATAAATAATTTATTAAGCATTTAATAACTAGTTAATTTATTAATATTTTATTTGTTTAGCATTAACTCTACATTTAATAGACATTGATAAGCAGTTTATAAATACAGTTACAAATGCTAGCTGTGTTCTTGAGTTTATAGCATATCTATGATGAAGTGCAGCTTATCTGTGATGTTCATTTTCCAGAGGAATGTCTGGCCAAATAAGTATATTAACTGCATGGTGGGTGCTACTCATTTATGAACCCATGTAAAATGATTTGCTGTTCTGTGGTGGTATTTTAGTCCATATTTAAATGATTTTATTTTATTTTTTTCATAGGACATCGTACATGCTCTGGGTGTCTTGAGGAGCTTGTCTTTGGATGATGCTGAGCAGGTCTTTCTTTCTGGTAACGGTTATCATTACAGGTCAGAATATGGTTAATTTTGCACAATGCTCAAAGAGCCTTTTTGTTACTGGTATATATGTTAACTCAACAGTGATTGTTCTCTATTGCAGTGAAGTAAAAGAATTTAACAGACAGATTGACAAACAACTGACGAAAGAAGAGAGACCATTCAATAGGTGGGTATTGCTCTTATATACTAAAAAATATGGAGTTGGCAGTAAGGTTTTCTGTTTGGTTCTCCCAACAGTGCATATATATATATATATATATATATATATATATATATATATATATATATATATATATATATATATATATCTGTGTGTATATATATGTGTGTGTGTATATATATTATAGCTAACACTGTAAAGCAAATGTTTGTTATTATACCACTTATTAAATATTAATCTAAATTTAATTGCATAACAATTGATTAACCTTTTGAGTTTATATACATGATTTTACATATTCAAGAATATCTATATACATTCATTTTTCTTTTCGACTTAGTCCCTTTATTTATCAGGGGTTGCCACAGCAGAATGAACCGCCAACTTATGCAGCATATGTTTTACACAGTGGATACCCTTCCAGCCGCAACCCAGTACTGGGAAACACCCATTTACACTTATATACTTGAACATGGGGAGAACATGCAAACTCCACACAGAAATGACCACTGGCCCAGCCGGGGATTGAACCAGCAACCTTCTTGGCTAACCACTGTGCTGCCCCATGTGCTCTATGCGGGTGAGTGGGATTGACAAACCACCTGGAGGACACACTCTTGCTGTCTTAATGCACCAGACATTTTGTTATAAATAATCATGTGCGTTTCATGTTTATTTATAAAACTGCTAATTTATCTCATAGCACTTCATTTTTGTCTTGATATTTAATATCTCTTGTTTAAATACACTATGAACAGCAGCTGCGCTAATTATTTTCCTTGTTCCCTATTTCCACCTGGGGATATTTATCTAGAGGCCTCTAGAGATCGTGACCTGTGAAGAGATGATGCCACCATAGAGGACTTCTAGATGTATCCATAATCCTGGACCAGACCGTATCATGAGCAGATGCTGTGGTGGTCATGGAGAAGTGGAGAGCATGATACTGATTAATGAAAGACCCCAGCAACAGATGAGTGCCCACATTGATCCTGTGGTCCAGCCTGAAAACCCGCTGGTGCCCTACTCACACCAGCAGCTTCTCCACGATGGACGCCCAGTGTTCTTCAGCCTCCAGCGCTTAGACTGCAGCTCTGCACGTGAAGTGTGGCCAGAAGAGAAATGGTTGTGCCCAACTGAGCCTGGTTTCTCTCAAGGTTTATTCCTTCACTTTCATCAATTGGTAAAGTTTTGTTCCTCCACTGTCGCCATTGGTTTGCTTGGTTTAGGACTTGTGGAACTGTGCATCGATGGATTTGCTTTTCAGTGTTTGGACTTTCAGCAGTGAAAACTAAACCACACTGAATTTATGAAATGTTTAGCTGCTTTGACACAATCTACATTGTAAAAGTGCTTTAGAAATAAAGATGAAATGAATTGAAATTGAATTGAATATTCAACACGTTTCTATTTTTCTCAGAAAACATATTTATAAAGGTGCTGTTGACGTGAAATTTTCACCAGATGTTGATAACAATTTGTAAAGTAATTAGATTTGTTTTCTATTCATATATTTTTTTTCTTTGGTTTTCAGGTCAATAGCACCTTTAGAAATATGTTTTCTGAGACAATTGGAAACATGTTGAATACTTATTTACCCTACTGTGTGTATGTATGTATATATATATATATATGTATGTATATACATAAATATATGTATATATATATATGTTTGTGTGTGTGTATGTATATATATATATATGTATATATATATATATATATATATATATATATATATATATGTGTGTGTGTGTGTATATATATATATATATATATATATATATATATATATATACACACACACACACACACACACACACATATACTTTAACTCTCTTCTCTCTCATTCACAGGAATAAAAAATTGAATGCAGCACCTGAATAAACAGTGGGGTCATTTTTGTGGTTGAATTGCATTAATACAGAAAGAGTGTGTGGATATGTATATAAATGTACATTCTTGAATCATTCTTGTGTCTTGACTCTTTAAAACCTTTAAAACCTGGTTTTAAATTAGTAACTGCAAATGCTGATCCCATTTGATTTCAATTTATTTTCCCTTATACTGAGCTAATTAGTTCAATGTAATGGGGTTCATCAATATACAGTATTTTTCAAAGAATTTAAGACTTTTAAGGCACTCAACTCTATTTATTCATTTATATTTTAGGTGTAAATTCATTTATTTCATTTTAAAATTGTTACTTAAAGCAGGCGTTTTACACTTTAACCTCTGGAAAAAAGTGCCTGAAAACGGGTCCTAGAAATGCAGTTTCACTATGTCATCCAATCCGGTAGGTGGCGCTTCCGCAAAAAAACTAGGGTCCTAAAAATGCGGTCCTAAAAATGCGGTCCTGAGAGTGCAGCTACTCCAGTTGTGCAGGATCATACTATTGCCTGAAAGTGCAACCTCCGGGATTGCAGACAGATAATATTGCATGAACCAGCAAAGAAACGTCAACTGTTTGTGCCAATTTTATTTAGACAGATGTACATTCACCGGCCACTTTATTAGGTACACCTTAGTATCGTGTTGGACCCCATTTTGCCTTCAGAACTGCCTTAATCCTTCGTGGCATAGATTCAAGGTACTGGAAACATTCCCCAGGTCCATACTGATACGACAGCATCACGCAGTTGCTGCAGGTTTGTCGGCTGCACATCCATGATGCCAATCTCCCATTCACCACATCCCAAAGGGGCTCTATTGGATTGAGTTCTGGTGACTGTGGAGGATATGTGAGTACAGTGAACTCTTTGTCATGTTCAAGAAACCAGTCTGAGATGATTCATGCTTTATGACATGGTGCGTTATCCTGCTGGAAGTAGCCATCAGAAGATGAGTACACTGTGGTCATAACGACATAGACATGGTCAGCAA